CGCGAGACAAATATACACACAGATCGAACCTCCTTTTATCCTGATCTTTCCCAGACACTACCAGATGTTACGTCATCCGTATTCTAAATTTATCTAATTTTAATCGCAAAGTTACGGAATAAAATCATCATCCAATAAAGACGCTTTCCTTAACGAACTGACCTGATTATTAAGAATGAAAGCAAAACTGTTGTACAGGCTTATATATCCTGCCGTTATCAACATTTCCAGACATTTATTATGATTTAGATTATTTGTTTTCGTGGTTTACTTAACGAACGTATCAGTGGCTGAATCTACGCGTCACAGGCAACAGAAAGTTTAATGAATAATCGATTTAAAATGGTGTAAAAACAAGCAGTGACCTCGGTTTTCGCACACGAATTAAATTAATTTTTGTTCCCAAGCTTTAATTTCAACATTCATTAATAATCAAATCAAAAATCCACAGCGTCTTAACTCGTACCCTATCCTTACCAGAAGGACGAGTGGGTATTGCATGGGAACCTTCTAAAAATAAGTCGCTGTTTCTCCCACCACAAACAAAGTCACTCTCGTTATAATAACAAAACATTCCCTGAGAATTTCGTGTCTGAGCTTAAACCAGGGTCACGCTGCATTACGAAATGCGATTAAAATAACGAATTATCACGACCGGGAAGTGATAAGATCGCACGCAGTGACAAGGGAAAGCAAAATTCTGAGGTCCCAAAAGAGAAAGTCTCGTTTCGAAATCAGGCCACAGTGCCCCTCTTTAGGGGCAAAGCACTCGGTTACATCGTTTGTTCCTCAAGTTACGCTATTGCCATCTAGCGACGTGGCGCGAAACAATTCCGACCGGATCGAACCCCGTACCTCCCCCAGTACGAAGCTGGAATGCTAACCACACCACAGCGACGTCCGGCTTCAAGGACCGGTAAAAATAACGCGGCTGTTGAAATTATTCTGTAAAATGTCGACTTCGAAATACAGAATTTTAACTCACTTTCTAGGGTTGGTCTCCAACACTTCCTCGAAGTACGAAACGAGTCCAGTGTTTTCCAG